CAACAAGCTCTTTGATGTGTCTCCGCGGGCAGGACGTCTCCTCCCCGGGCAGGAGCAGCCTGTGCAGCTCACGCACAGGTGACGGTACCTCCCTAACCCACAGCAGGGCCCTGATTCTCAGGCAGGGGCTACTCGTCTAGGATGGCGCATACCCAGCCGTGACCGTATAGACATTCTCAGAGCAAGTCCCAGGCCAGGCCCCCAGGGAGCTGGTCCTGGTGGGAGTAAACTGAGGTTTGCAGGAGCGTACTCCAAGAACGTGGCCTGCCCCAGCTAGCCAGGGGGCAGTGGGGGGGCCGGTGCCCTCCAGCTCTGTGCTTCCACCTCTGCTTTGAATGTGGAGCAGTCATGGCCCTCCTGTGCCATGGGGATTCCCTGCCCCACGTGGGTTGTGAACACGCTCTGTCCTCCAGTGCCCTGTCCCCAGAGGCCCTGCATCTCTGCTGCCTTCACGAAGGCAGACTGGTGAGGACTGGGCTGATGCATTGGGGTGTCTGGCTCAGCACTGTGCCTCTCTAAATGCCAGCACCCCTGGCCCCACTTCCGGGTCCTCATGCAGCAGCCACTCGATAGCAAGGCAGTGGCTGTCTGCCGCATGTGGGTTTCTAGTGCTCCCTGCTCACTCTCTGACCCCACTGGTTTCCCGGCCTCCCCAGGCATGACTTCCTCGGCACTGATTGCCTCCCGGTCCTGCTGAAGGTCTCCCATGGGCGTGAGGTTCTGGTAAGGCAGCCAGCGCGGGCAGGGCAGTTAGCCAAGTCCCAAGCAGGTGCTTTCCACAGCGGCCACATGGCACTGCCCTTGCCATGTGCTCCGGCACAGGGAGCTGTAATGGAGGGGCTTAACCCCCATGAGGGGACAGCCCTGTGGCTGTTAAGGCAACGCTTTCACTGTCCTAGGTGGAGAAGGCTCCATGGGCCTGTCCTGTGTTGGGCTACGTGCTAGTGCCCGGCAGCCTCCAGTGATGACCCACTGGCCTGCTCCTTTCCAGTTCCAGCCTGGAACTGCCCCCCTGGGGTTCTAGATCCACCTTGCATTTGCCCCTTCTTCTGCGAACCTCATCCCTGGCCACCTCTGCTGTCACCCACTGAGGCAGGGACCTGTGCCATCTACCTTCTGCCAGTGCCCCTCTCCGTCCCTGAAGCAGACATCCCCTACAAGTACCTGCTGCCCTGGGTCCTCACCCCTCCTGCCCCCTGTGCTCCCAGCTCCCTTCTCCTTTCCTTTCATGGCCACGGCAGCTTCCAGTCCATCTTGAGCTGCAAGCAGGGGCGTAGCTGTACTCTCCCACAAAGCCCTTGGCCTGGTGCTCTTGGGCCTACAGAGAGGCTGCTGACAGGTGGAGGTCAGGCCAGGGCTTGGGTTTCCTTTGGATTCCCTCTCAGCCCCAGCCTGCTGGGGGGTCTCGGACATGCTTTGGGGGCTGCATGCGTGTTAGTCCAGATGCTTCTCCACTGGAAGCCAATGGTTCCCTCTCCCCTGCCTTTGCTGCAGCTGAACTTCGTTGGCATGACTGTGCAGTGTGGGCAGCCCTATCTCCACATCACCACCACCAGGCATGTCTTCACGCCCGTCGTCATTGGCAGCCCCAGCCCCCCCAAGCAGGTGAGCAGGGGAACCCACACTGCTGGCCAGGGAGGGTGAGGGAAGGTTCTCCATGGCTGTCTGGCAATGGCCCCGTGAGGGCAGCAGGGGAAGCCCTGGGGCAGGGTGTGCTGGGATGGCGAGGGGCTGCATGGCCCCTTCCTACTCTGGCCAGGCTTTGCTGGGCTCTGACTCCATGAATCCTGCCAGACCGGGCTGCCTGTTCCCTACAGCACTGGCTCCCCTTGTTGGCTCTCCCCCATGGTCCTGCTGGCCGTGCAGGCAGGATCATCTACCCGGGATACTTGGGGAAATGATTCCTTATTAGGTTTTCCAAGTGGATTAACAACGCCCCATTAAATCCCTGTGTGACTCGCTCCTTCACACTGCAGGTCTTGATGTTCTGCCTTATGTCATAGAGCCACAGAGTTGTAGGTGAGCCAGCACGGGAGGGTCCCAGGAGAGGCTGGGCAGGCGCTGGGCGGGAGGGTGGAGGACAGTGATGCCTGTGCTCTGCATGGGAGTGTCCCAGGCTAGGGCTGTGCTGGTTGTCCCCCCCACCCAGCAGGATCAGGGGGTTGAAGCCCCTCCAGAGGCGCTAGGTGTTGGCTGCAGCACAGGCTGGGGCTCTGCCCGGGCTGTGTCAATGCTCCTGCTGGGACTCAGCCCCACAGGATCCTGCCCTGGCTGCAGGCTCTTGCCCCGCCATTCACGCTGTGTGGCAGGGGGCAGGCAGGGATTTGCCCCCTGTTCAGCCTGGCCTGGCCTGGCCTTGGGGTTTCCCCTCCCTCTGCAGTGGGGGCACAGCCTGGGCCTGGGCTCTGTCCAGCACCCGCCAACCCCCCTGGCAGCAGCAGGACGTTGTTGGCCGTGGCCCTCCTGGGGGCCGAGGTGGAGGTGATGCCGGGGGCTGTGTCAGGGAGACTGTGTTGTGCCACTCCAAGGTCGCACATGGGGTTTGTCTGGGGGGGTTGGACAGAAATCATAGAATCCTAGAGCCATGGGGCTGGCGGGGACCTCCAGAGGTCACATCCAGTCCCCTCCCTGCCTGAGGCAGGATCATCTCTGTGCAAACCACCCCAGACAAATCTCTTATCTAACCTTGGGTGTTGGCTGCACCCCAGGCTGAACTGCACCAATCCTGCTTGCTGGGACCAAAGCTGGGGGATCCTGGCTTGTCCCTCCACTTAGGGTCAGACTGACCCCATATTTGAGATTAGGGAGGAATTTCCCCCCACCCCAGTGAGATTGTTCCAGGGATGAGGGGGTTTTGCCTTCCTCTGTGGCAGGGGCACGGCCTCTGCCTGGGGTCTCTGGGGCATCTGTTGACAACATTTCATAGAAGCAGGACCTTGGCGGCTCCATTCCCCCGCCTTCCCTGGGGCAGGGTTGGGTGTGATGTCTGCTGTGCCAGGGTTGAGGGGACTCTCATGCAGAATTTAGATGATGGTTTTTCTGGCCTGGTTTGGACAGGGCTGATGCTGCCTCAGGCAGGGCTGGGACTGGATGTGAGCTCTGGAGGTCCCTGCCAGCCCCATGGCTCTAGGACTGTGATTCTGGAGGTGGGTTAAGCTGCACTGAACTCAGATTCCTTGGGCTCAGAACATGGCTGCTTGGTGCTTTCTAGAGTTGCCCCTTTAGTCCTTTTGGATGAGCTTGCCCAAGCGGCCTAGTGTAGACCAGCCTGAGGTTTATGAGCCACACTGGGGAAGCTCAATGGCCAGGTGACAACACACTGTGTACCATGCCGTCACCCACTATGACCTTGGCCACCATAACACCAGCATGGCCATTTCTCTCCCCCACCTCGCCTTTTTCTCCATTGGATCCCACGGGGCTGAACCGGCCTCCCCGCAAGACAGTGACAGGTACCCTTTGCATGTCACCTTCAGGTTTATGAGCTCTACAACGGGGGCTCCATACCCGTGTGCTACGAGATCCCACCTGAGCCTATGCAAAGGATCTGCGAGGAGAACTTCCAGCATCCCGTGTTCGTCTGCCTGAATCCCAAGGGGCAGATCAGCCCTGGCACGATGGGGCACGTTGAGTGGGTCTTCTCCCCGCTGGAGGCCAGGACGTACTCGGTAGGGTTCCCCAGCACACAGCTGAGTGATGGGCCATAGGGCGCCCTTGGCGCTGCCAGCATAACTGAGCAGGACCCCACCAGCCTCCCTAGTTACCTTGTAAACCATGGGACCAACTCACCAGGCAGTCAGGACTCATTTCCCCAGCTCACCTAGTCTTCTCAGATAACAGGTAAGTTGCAACCGGTGCTGGGGAAAGGAGAGCCTGGCCAGCTGGCTGCCCAAGCAGTTCCTTCCCAAAAGCCATCAGCCAGCCCATTGGGGCACTTTCTGATTTGCTGTGCAAGGGCCCTCATCTCTGCCCACTACCGGACGCTATCAATGCTTCCATTTCCTCGGCCAGGTCTTTGTAACCCTCAGCCAGGCCGAGTCAGACCACGCTAGCCAGCCATCTTTCATTGGGTTCCCCCCTCCCTGGTGTGCAGACAGGGTAAAACCCATGGAAGAACCACTTGCATTCAATAACTTGTCTAACGTGGTCCAATAAAAGCTGTTTCCCCCACCCTAAAATCCCAGGGGAGGAGTTGCCCCACAGGCAGGGGTCTGAAGTGAGAGAGCCCAGAGCAAGGTGGTGTAGGCTGCGATGGGGGCAGGTGAACGGGAGCTTCCACCCTTCTACACTGCAAGTTCCCCTCCAGCCCTGGAGGAAGGGCCCTGCCCGAGGTCTTGGCTTCTCTAAATTTTCCTCCCACTCGAGACCCCATGAGCTGCCTCCCATGCCCAGCTCCATTCTGGAGGTGTCCCCCAGATCCCGCTCTCTCATCTCTTTATTTAATTTATTAACAAATCCAACTTGGGAAATAACGAGCCTCCCATTTAAAAGGGAGCTCCAATCCCCTCAGCTAGCCACAGAGACATAAGCTGACTTTCTGCCCCCTAACCCCACGTCCCATGTGCTGGTCCTCTGTCCCCTCCAGGCTCTGACAGCTTCTTTGTGGCAGTTGCTGTTATGCTTCTAAGTTTCTTCCTCTCTGTTTCTTAGTCCGCACCTTCCCCACACAGCTCTGCGAAGCACAGACCACACCTGTGTCCATTCATCCTTGCTTTTCGATTCCAAATGTATTCGAAATCAGGGGAGATTATGCTCAGGGGCAACCAACACGGGTTCATTAGAGGCAGGTTCTGTCAGACCAACCTGGTGGCCTTCTGCGACCAGGTCACCAAATCCTTAG